CATGTTAGGATGCATCTCGTGCAAACTGGATAGGCAACAGTGGGTTAAAATGAACAAGTGTCCTATCTGATGCAACCAGTCTCTTTGCCTCTAGGAAAGCATTTTGACACTCATGTGACCAAACCCATTTGTAGCAAAACAATTTAAAGGATACAATATTCTTGCTAGGTTGGTGCAAATATACCATAATAAATCCTAGAAACAATCTAAGTTGTGAAACATCTTTTGGCTTTGGGGCTTCCAGAACTGCTTTAATCTTCTCTGGAGATTTATGGTGCACAAGACCTACCATAACAAGTCCACAATAAGCAAATTACTTTGTGAAAAATGTGCATTTTGTGCTATTTCCTTATACCCCATAGTCTTCTGGAGATTCTAATATTCTCTTAAAACTTTTCAGATGATCTTCATTATTTTCACCAGTCACAATAATGTCATCCAGCTAACACTGTGTTCTGGAATGCCTTGTAACATTTGATCCATTGCTTATTGCCATATAGAAGGAGGAAAAGCAATGCCAAACATTAGCCTCTTGTATTTTTATAATCCTTGTAGATTGTTCACAGTAAAATAAGCCTTTGAATATTCTCCTGCTTCCATCTGTAGGCAAGCTTATGGTAAATCAGTTTGGCTAAATCTCTGTCTCACTGCTAACGTGTCAAAAATATATTCAATTCAAGGTAGGGGACATTTATTGACTTTCAGCACAGGGTTTATAGCAGGGGTAAGCAAAATGGTGGATCCAACCAATGGCCAGACTCAATTTCCCAGCAGCTCCTGCCTGCATCGCTGCAGCCAGTTACCATGGAGACCCCATCAGTGACAGTGCTGTGACAGCACAGGGCCAGGGTTTCCGTGGAGATCAGCCCCAGCATCACTGGCAGGTCTTAGAGCTGGGTGGAAAGCTGCTTGGCAGCTGGGGCTGGGATCTTGCATTGGTGACCATATGGTTCAGAGCCAGGTCAGATCCATGATCCACTGCCTGCATGCCCATGCTGGGAGCAAGTGGGCAGTGGATCACAACTGTGCCCCGGTTCCAGACCACACTGTCATCACTGCAAGATTCCAGATCTGGAGTAGCTCTGAGCGGTGCCACACGCCAGCTGCTGGGGCTGGTCTCCATGGAAACCCTGGCCCTGTGCTGCCATGGTGCCACTGCTACTGGGGTCTGTATAGAAATCCATGGAAATTGGGCTATTTACAGTTGGCACAACAGGAGTGCTCCACGCACTCCAGGCTACTTTTGAAAGTATGCTTTCCCTTCTGAGGCAGTCTAATTCAGCATCTACTTTTGCACATAGGCTGGAAGGAACTAGCTGAGCTTTGTGAAACTTGGCCTGTGCATCTTCATTTACTATTATCCTAGCTTTGATATTTTTTAAAGTTCCTATGCCTTCCATGAGCATTTTGGATGACTGGTTGAATACGCCTTCTAACTATTGTTCAAGTGTTTTTGCAAAGACCTTCAAAAGGGCCTGTGGCATCTTTACAGAATTCCAGCTCAGGGAAGTCGTTTTTAGCCACTCATGCCCCAGAGTGGGTCACCCTTTTTCAACAGCCTATAGATAAGAGGCACAACCTTTTCTCCTGGATCTGTCTTTAAAAACACTGGTATCTTCCTTCATGGGCAACTGGTGCATCCCGAGTCTTGGGCGGGGGCACCAGATCACTGACTGGGAGCGGGGCCCATGGCCAATCGCCAAGCCGGAAATCACCAGCAGCAAAACTGGAAGTGCACTTCCGCTGGCACTTCCAGTTCCACAGCTGGCATTTCCAGGGGGTGCACAGCCAATCTTGGGGGTGCACGTGCAGCCACGTGCATCCCCTATGCATCGCCAGCATCTTCCTTAATTTCAAATTTTACTTCCTTACTTTTAATTTTTTTTCATATTCTGAACATGAGATGACAGACACTGCAGAGGCTGTTTCCAACTCTGTTCTGAGCATTTTACCTACAACTTGGGATTGTAGCCAAATTTCTGGATTTTCACCCTTGTTCACGTTTATATAGACCCGGAATTAGCTATTCCCCTTTCTCCACCTGTGGCACTATGGCCTGTATCTATTACATATACATTATTTGGTCTCTTCCATATTTATCTTAGAAGAGCACATTGCCTGGATAATACCCCTTTTTATTGCAACTTCAGTAGTAGAGTTCCTTAGCTAGGGCATGGGACACTTTTCCACACTGATAGCACATACATAGCCACTGCATGCACTGAGTTTTCCAGTGCATGTTTAATAATTGGAATAAGCATTTATTCCTATTTACACCAGAACTCCTCCATGAATTCTAAAGCATCCTTTGCTGCAGTTTCCATAACTATTGCAATCCCAACAGCACATTTAAAGGTGAGGTCTTCCTCTGTTAAGAGCTTTTTTTTTTGTATGGCTTTATTAAGTGACTCATACACAGATCTATCTCTGAAGGCCTCATTAAGTCCATCCTTAAAAGTGCAATGTTCTGAAAAATTCTGTACTGTGGCACAAAAGAGGAAATGGATTGATCTTCAGGTTGACTCCTTTTATAGAACCTGAACTTTTCTGTATTGATCAATGGTTTAGGTGCCAGATACCCTTGGACAATTTTTACTATCTCTTTAACGTTTTGCTTACTGGCTTCTCTGGCATGATCAGGCTGTGCAGTAAACTATATATTTTTCCTCCTATCAAATTGAGTAATATAGCTACATGTTTTCATGGGGAAATCTCATTTACTTAAAGAAACTGCTCCAGCTGCTCTCTATATGTAGGTCAGTCTTCCAGGGCATTATGATAAGCTCCAGTTGTTCCAATATAGACACGCATTATGGTTCCAGCAGGTTTCAGGTACTCATAGCTAAAGCAGATCCTTTTGGCATATTTAATGCATGCCCAGAGTCAGCCTTAGGGAAAATGGAACCCTGGGTGAACTTGTATTTTGGTGTGCCCCCCCTGCCCCCCCCCCCCAAGTCAGCAGCGCTGCTGCAGACAAAGGCAGAGTCAGGTAGGCAGGGCGCAGGGTGCAGTCCATCAGGGAGCCAGAGCAGCATGGTGTAGCAGGCTGGCAGTACTGCTGCTCTGAGGCAACAAGGTGGATGGATGGGAGCAGGCAAAACCCCACCCACATGTGATCAGCTGGAAGTGGGGGGGTGGGCTGAGCTCTGCACCATTCCTCCTTCCTGGGATGGAGATTGGCCAGGGTGTAGCAGGGCAGGGGGAGAATGTTTCTGTAAGCACCAGCTGTTTTTGGTACCCCCCTGACCATGGTGTCATGGGTGGCTGCCCATGTTGTCCACCCCTAAGGCCAGCAGCATGACCAACTTGTGGGATCTCATCCTCAGTTGATCAGGTGTGTTGAGTGCCAGGAAGGAGAACACCTAGGAATCCTGAAGTGAAGAGAGGGAAGACAAGGGACAGAAAAGGCCCAGCAAGGGCTGGGATGCTCTACCCCTGCCCTTCTTCTAGAAATGGGGTTTGGTCCCCATTACACCATCTCCCCTTGTTTGGAAGGATATGCTCCAGAGCTCATGATCAGGGTCATTTCAGTTTCTCTCCATGTCACTGTGGCCATTAAATCTCTGGAACAGAAACCAAAGACTCAAGAGAATCTTTCTCTCCAGGTGCCACCTCCACCTAGTTGATACCCAACCCCAATATTTGTGTTTTGGAGACACTGAAGAGGAGGGTGGCAAGCATCCTAAGAATTTGACCAGAGCATATGTTGGCAAGATCACACTCCTGGGTTGTCATTCTGCATCCAGCAAATCTTACAAAATTGGTCTCTGTATCACTCTGGCTACAGGACTTTTTCCTCTTGAAGGAGGTATAGACCACTATGGAAGATCTGTCCTTCAAAGGTCTAGAATAGTTACCTCTTAAATAGATGAGACCCTACACACCTTAAAGATATAAGGTCTACCCTTCTCTCCTTTAGGCTATTTTCTCCCCCTTACAAATGCATGTTCAAATACCAATCATAAACTTCACAGAGGAATAGCTCTCTTTTGTCAGGGTTTGCCTATCAAGGCAAGTCAACCCTTGCCTGTAGGAGTCTTTTAGGAAGTGGCAGAGGTTCCTCACTAAGACACAAAGCTGTCTCACATTTCAACCTCATATTGCAATGCATAGATCTTATACCCTATGACAGGAAGTTTAACAGGGTGCTTGGGAGTCTGCGCATGCCACAGCCCTTGCCAGGCTGACTGTGCACCAGGCACACAAGGTAGATTACCTGGAGGCAGCTATACCTGGTTGAGAAGCACTGAGGTAAGTTGAGGTAGTACCAACAATGTGTTTCAACCTGGGGTGCCACCACATCCAAAAAAACTGGTAGTGGGATGCTGTGACTCAGAAAAGGTTGAGAACCACTGGGCTAGACAAATTCATGGATGATGGATCTATTTATAGGTATTAAACAGAACAGTCAGGGTTGTAGCCTCTGACATCTCTCAACCAATGATGGTGGATGCCAGGGAAGGTAATGAATAGGGTTAGATCACTCTAGGTACACCTTGTTCAATGCTTTCCCTCTAAAGCATCTACTACTGCCATTATTGGAGACAGACTGTTAGACCAAATGGACCATTGGTTTGACCCAGTATGGCACTTCTTGGGCGCATCTACACATAACAACCTACACCTCTACACATAATGTGCATTAAAGCATCACAAAAAACTGTGTACTTTTGCTAATACACATTAGAATAAGCTAGCACGCCCTTTTCTAGTACCTTACAATAGAGGTAATTGAATGTACATTAGTAAAAGTGCATTAATGAACATGTAGACATGCCCCTTATGTTGTTCTTAAGGGCTGTCATCCAGTTGCTCTTCCCCTATTGGGCTCTAGGTCTAAGCTCCATATATGTGGTCTCTGGTTTGGAATCATTCAGATGAGAGCATGTTTGTGGACTATTATTCACAGGTAAGAATATGAAATTACTAGTAACAAAATGTTTTGAGATGTATTGTCCACATGCACATTTCAATCCTACTTTCCTTCCCCTGTTTCTCAGTGCCAAGATAAGATTGGATTCTGCTGCTGAGAGATAACTGAGGAAAAAGAGGAAGTACAGCAACCCAGCAAGAAGAGGTGAAGCTAGGCTCCACTCTACACTACTGCTAAGGCAAAAGTCTCTGGTCAAAGTGTGAAGTATAAGACACCACAAGTGCTGACAATATCTCTCAGACAACTTCAGGTACTGGTAAATAACTTCTTTTTCAATAATTTACATCTTACATCTGCGGGAAAGTTATGCTAGTTGCTATGCTTCCTGTGGCATGGAGCATATTGCTATGTAGCAAAAATAAAAGGGAGGCAAAACTAATACTTTGCAAAGGCACCTGTATGAAGGAGTTCATTTCCTACTGTCTCAGCAAAGCAGTAGCCTATTACGGGTCAGGGGAACTGCACTCAGGTTCTGATTCTGAAATGAAAACTCATCCCTTTATGTTTTTATTATGAGCAGGCTCTGAGTTTGAATGATTTTTCCATATGCAAAAGGACTATGGCATCTGGTTTCACTTCCAGCAGCTGGCAGCTTGAAGTCTATATTTTGTGTGGTGCAGAGTAAAGGAAAAATAAAAGTATTGAATTGTTTGGCATTATCAAGGATTTCTGCTCCCCAGGACTTCTGCATAAAGAGATGGAAATTTTAGCTGCTAGAGCCAAGAAACACATAGAAGTGTATGACTTTATTACATTTTATCTCATTCTCCTACAAGCAGCACTGGAAATGTCAAAAGATCATCTATTATTTCATCATTTATAAAGAGTTTTTGTTTTTTAGCTGTAATTTTTTTGATGCATGGCTATGGGGAAGGGGAAGAAAATGGAACAAGGCTTGAGCAGTGCAAGGATGCAGTTTATCTGGCTGCACAACTACATGCATTTAAATTTTTCAGATTCCAGTTTTTAATTTAACAAATATAATTAAGGCTGGGGTAGGTACTTGGATTATTCATTTATTCCAGATGGAAAAAATAAATTGAATGCAAATTCTGTAATCAGACATGAAGTTCAGAGTGTCGGATGTGATGGGGAAGCAGCAGCACATTAATAGACCCACTTTCACTAAGCAGCACCCTAGTTTAGTGTCAGGGATTATTTGAATAATTGAGGTGCCATTTTATAAGAAATCTGATTGCTGATCTCTACTTAAGATGAAGCCTTAATTGTAATTCTCTATCAAGAACGAATAATCTATGTAACAGGGCACACTGGGAACGGGGGCAGTCTGCAGGTTTGTGCTTTTCTACTCTTGAATTTGGTTGTTCACTGGGTTCTATTGTTCTTGACAGGGTCCCCTAGAACATTGTTTCTCAACCTGTGGGTTGCAACCCAAAAGTGGGTCACAAGAATATATGAAAGGGCCATGAACAAACTTTAAAAAATCGATTCTCCTTTAAAGGAGAAAAAAGTGGGAAACTATGGCTTTTCCCTTGTTGGCTGGAAGAATTCCAGCTGCTGCTGCAGCTGCTGGGGGACCTGCTTGGCTTCTCCAGTGTCCCACTCACTCCAGGCAGCAGGTAGGGAAGTGGCAAGGGTGAGCTGGGTGGGAACTGCAGCTGGGTGAGGGCAGAGAGCATGGGGCTGGCCCTGGTGGCAGTGCATAGCCTGCACCCAGGCTGGAAGAGTTCCAGACTACAAGGGGCTGCTTGGGGATCCCCCTGCCCCACACACACCACCCCTGTACCACCCACTGGGGTGCTGGGGCCTGGAGGCAGCAGGCTGGGACTGAGGGACACTGGGTTGGGACTGGCTATTGATGTTTACATGTGGGTCCTGGTACAAAAAAGGTTGAGAACCACTGCCCTAGAATATGCAGAAATAACATGTGGTTTTTACCTTTTACTTCACATACTAGCCAGCAGGTCCCCAGGTAGGAAGAATCTGACCTGATACCAAGTATCTACCTTAGAGATAGATGCTTTCTGAATGTTATAGAAGACTTTGTACTGAAATGTATTATACAGCATTCTTGGACTTGCCTTTCTCTACCTTTTTCTTTCAGGTGCCAGCTGCAAACGTTATTTTAACAGTACAGTTATTGCACCATCTGTTTTTTAAAACTGCTTTAGTTAACCCTTTTCTAAATGTGCAGAAGGGCATATATACATGCCCTCTTGTAAATTACATTGGGGCTTACATACTTGAGAGAACATTGACTTTAACCTAAATAGGATCATATTTCATTGATCATTTTCTTTATAAAATAATTATTGATTTTACCTATTGGTTGCGGGGGCAGGATGTGGATGTGTGAGGTTTGTGGGATGTGAGGGAGGGTGAAAAGGTGTGGAAACCCCCACACATTTCTCCATATGGTGCACAGCCCTCACTATGGGCAGCAGCATCAGGCAGGGTTGCTCGCGCAGGCGCTGGTGCCCAGTGGCACATGGCTCCAGCCAGTGCTGCACATCCTAGTAAGGAGCGCAGCCAGCCTGGCCTGCCTGTATCATGGGAGCTCCATGCCGAGCACAGCACTTGCACAGCACTCCACTGCACAGCACTGGGGGAAGCCCTGTGCTGGAGCTGGCCGCTTTCCCCATCCTGTGCCACACAAGAAGTGGAGGGGACCCCACCCCTGCAGAGTTTTGGGACCTGCAGCAGGGAGCAGGGAAGGCAGCTGGTTCCAGCACGGGGCTTCCCCCAGTGCCGCACAAGTGTGGAAGCTGCACATGTGCCGCGCTGAGCCCCTGCAATAGAGGCAGGCTGGGCAGGCTGTGCTCCTTGCTTCCATGCGCAGCAGCGGCTGGGGCCGTGTGTTGCTGTGCACCAGCAACTGTGCCCGACTGACCCTGCCTGCTGCTGCTGCCCACAATGGGGGTGGTGTGCCATGGGGGGAATGTGTGGGAGTCCCCACACTCCCGCACCCTGCCCAACCCCCTAAGCTCTGGAGTGAGGTGTTTTAGACACACCTCTTTCCTTAACATTCTGTATCAGTTTGTTGAAGACAGTTCCCTGCATACTGAGTTGGTTGCCTAGTTTGCCATTCTGAGGTGCCTAATTCTCCCCCTATGGTATTTTGGGAACCTGTGTGCCTAAACAGAGCTCTGGATTCTACTCCAGGGAATGGGAATTCTATTTCATGTTACACTCCCAAATGGCAGTTCACCCGCTATGTATGCGATGTTTTTCGTACTTAAAGACTGTTTCCAATTCTGTGGTCCTTTCAGTAGGCCGTGAACTGGCTGGGTAGATATGTTGCTATAAGCATGCATACATTTTGTGTGTAGAGAGAGGTAGTTAGCTAGGTTGCTCTGAAGTCAAGCAAGAGTAGCACCTTAGAGACTAACTAATTCTAGAGGGTATACACTTCCGAAGGGACAGTCTACATCCTCAGATGCTATGAAGTGTGCATGTAAGTTGCAATATTGTGCCTGGCAAAACATCATAATGAATGAGAGTTAGAAGCTGGAGGAGGAGGAGGGAACCCACACATAAAAGTCTCTTATTACAAAAGAACTAATGTTCCTAATGCACACACGTGCTTTTGAATATGTTATTCGTTACCTGTATTTGAATCAGAAGAAAACCTCCCAATTACATCATCCACCACAGTAAGATTTCAAGAATTACATTTGAAAGATCACTTTCAGGATAAATATAGGCATTTTTTTAATTTCCTCATCTTTGCATATTAGTTTATCAAAATTAAATAACTTAAAATATATAACTTGCTTTCACCATATATACCATTTATTTCTCTTCTCATATGACTTTGCAAGATTGTGAAAACCAGGATGGTCATTTCCTCAGCTTCTGGTGCAGGCTTCTTAGAGTTGGTTAAAAAAGGTCATTTCTTTCTGAAAGATTTGATTTATTTTTTTATTTTCCAGTTTTTGTTTTTTAATGAAAAACAGAAATTATAGTCTCTAAGTGTAATCCTGCCTTCTGACTAAAAGTTTTACTTTACAGTCTACATACCCTTTAATTTTCCTTTCTTTCCATCCCCTCCTATATCTGGAGACAAATGGAAAA